AAGCGTAGTTTTATGACTACTGGTAAGGCAACAAGACAATCCATTCCAACCTACTAGTATGGACGCACTCCTGCCTATTAATTTTCTAGCCTTATTCGTGTCCTCCACACCTTCCTATCTAAGGTCATGTTATAAGTAAGACGCAACTGTGTCATGTCCTGTCTAATCACCTCTCCCCAATAACATCTCCAATGTGATCATTATTATTGGATACCACTAAATGTGATCAGATGACTATTGTTAATATCAGTAAAAATAACTCCATGCACATACCTCAGCAGCCTCGACCAGGCGACCCTCATCTTTGTACAAAATTCCACAATGGGTGAGGGCACATGCATTTTGTGGGTCCACTTTGATGGCTTCAGAAAAACTTTCAAAAGCAAGCCTCCCCATATTTTGCATCTGCAGGCAAATACCTTTGCCAATCAGAGACTCAATACTCTCGCTATCCTTCTGCAACACACTCTCATAGATTGCAAGTGCATCAACAAACTTGTTCCTAGAGCGAAGAATATTTGCGTAAGTGATGGCATCCTTGTCTTCAAAAATCTTCTTTACATGACTTATTCTACCAGGAGAACCTTTGGAACCAGAAGAAGATTGGCCTCCCTTCAGAAAACCATTGTTACCAAGTGAGTCACTTTCTTTTCCATTCTCGACATCTTTTTCCGTCCACGCCATCTACCTAAACCTGCAGAACCACTTGAACCTGTCAAATAAAAAGTAGCTTCTTTTAATAAACAACCAAGGAAAAAAGTAACAAGAAAAGGTCGTGTTAGCTGTAACAATCCCCAAGTAAAGTTTAACATCTAGTTCACATTGACTCCTTCACGACACCTCGCCATAAATAAAAGTTACAACAATTTGAGCACAGTTAGGTGTTCATGCTCACTACTGAATGAAGCATCAATTAAGTACACACTCGTGATATTCTAAACAAACATGAGTATCAATTACAAACAGATGAACAAAGCTTAAACTCTTAACTACTCTCTCCTTTTCAATTTGTTTGTCTGAATTTGACTTGGCATGAAGTTTAAGAAACTAAAGAAGATTTTTTAAACTTGTTGTCTTAAACTAAAGATACATAGAATACAAAAAATGTCCTTCAATCTCATGGTCTTAACATGTCATGTGGAAAGTTAGAAAGTTGAATAAAGAATTGCTAAAATGGGTAATCAACATTCTTTTTTTAAACATACTAAAAATGAAAGCAAGACAAACAAATCGAAACTAAGCAAGTAAAAAGAAATTAATTCAACATTCAAATGAATAACAAAGACTCCACCACAGCAAATGTTGCTACTTTTAGTATGACGATCCTACTAGTTTACCCTAACTTTATCAATAAATGAAACAGTACATTACTATCCAACAAACACAATTTACCCAAAAAAAAACTCAACTTTCACCAAAACCCCATATCAGTTAAACCCCTAAAAACTAAAAAGACAGTTTTTTTTTTTTTCACAAAAATCAACTCTAATACTGAAACTAAACATGACCCATTACACAAAAACATAAACTGATCATGATTAACCCAAATAAAACTCAAGAAAAATTAGGGCAAACACTTTGAAACCCTCACCTATTCAATCAATTTCACTGCTGTTATGCTTTCACCATAACTCCCACACATCAATACACAGCTTCTTTGATTTCTGTTTGTTGGGTGGTAGGTTAAGTGGGGTGGGTGGGTGGGGGGTCGGGTAGGGGACAAGTAGGAGGGTCTCTTTCCGACACTGAGGTTTGATGTCTGCCAAAGCACCGGAGCCCCTGGTGTTCGTCCGTTAACTACAATGGCAAACATATACAGAAGGACTCTTCATTAATTACCCTTATTTGTTCACATAATCACGATATTGCCACTGTTTTTGCGCCGCGTGAGTATTCTTTTCATATACTCCCCTTGTAATTTGTATAAATTTGTATAACGCCCATATAGTTTGGTTTAACTTTGTTTTTGACACTACACTTTGTGATATTTGAGCTAATTGTCTTTTTCTAATTTTAGAGTTTTGAACTAATTTTATTTTATATATAAACTTGTTCTTTGGCTAAGTTGTATATAAAAGGCATTTGGTGGATAAGATATTAAAAAGGAAAAGATTAATTGGAGCGGTTAGAAGAAATATTTGTCTTGTATAATTTAATAAAATTTGCTGAATTATTTGTTGAATTTTATGAGAAGTATGTGAGGAATTAATAATTAATTTTTGTTAAACAACAAAAATTAGTCAAATGACATTTATGAAGGTTGATATTTGTTGAGTTTATTTATTTTCTCTTCTTACTTTATTTATCCATTTATATCTGAGGTCTTTTCTTGTTGATGTGAATTGTAATTTAAATTTGGTTAATTCTGACTTTTATTAGGTTGTTTGTCGATCCAATCTAGCATAGTTCTAAGTTGGTGGCTTTTAGTGCTCGTTAAAAATTTGCATACTTTTTAATTTGTTGTACTTGAGTCGAGGGTTTATTGAAAACAATCTTTATACCTTCATGAGGTAGCTAGGGATAAGGTTTGTGTAAACTCTCTACCCTTCTCAGACCCCACTCATAAGATTTCACTTTCCTTATTATTTGTTGTGTTATCTTCACTATCATTTTTTTTCATACACTTTGATTTGTTGCACCTTAAGCCGAGGATCTTTCGAAAATAGTTTTTCTATCTCCACGAGGTAGGGCTACTCTTTACAAATTCTACTTATGAGATTTCACTAGATATGTTGCTGTTGAGAACAATTAGGTATTTATGATGACTATTTAATTAAATATCGATAAAGTATTCTCGTGATATTCCAAACGGACATGTATCTGTCACGAACAAATTAATTTCATTGTCTGATTCAATTTTTGACACTGCAGTTTCTAAAATTTAATAAGACTTTTGTGGTTTTTTTTTTTTTTTTTTTTTATCTTCTTCACACTAGAGCTTGTTAAAAAAATGATAAAAGCTAAAAGTGCTCGTTGTTTATAATTTTTAAAAATAAATTGATCAAAATATATTTAAGGTATTAATTTAAATCTATCCTTATATAAGAATATATACCATTTTTATCATTTTCTTGAGCAATATACATCACACTACTAAAGAAAAACTACATTTGGGGCCTTAGAAGTTTTTTTTTTCCAAACATTAAAGCACAAAACAACAAAATAACAAAATATGGGGGAATCTCCTACATTAATACTATTTACAGGGTTCTTATAGAAAATATATCCAAATTTACAAAAGCCCAAATTTTGAGTGCTTTATTTCAATTGTTTCAGTTTCAAGAATCAGACTTTGGATCAGCAGATCAAAAACAATTTTTTCATCCTATTTTGCCCCTTCAAAATTAACCATAAATGGCGATGACCATTGAAGGTACAATCTTTTTGCTACTATAGTTTCAGTTTTGAATTAGCAATAAACCGTTTTTAACTTTTTTGTTAAATTTTTCTTTTTTTTTAGTTATATTATTTAGTGCTTGTTTTTTTTCTAGTTGTTTTGTATCATAAATTTGAGGTTTAAGGTAGTTGATTTTTAGATTATGGTTGGTGGGGTTCTTTGTTGGATGAATAGAAATGACCTAATTTTACTACAGCTGAAATAATTTTGATTAAACATTAAGCTCCTGTTTGGCCATAGATTTTGAAGTTGAAACTTGAAATATGTGTGTTTAAAGATGTGATTTTTGGAATTTGAAGTTGTATTTGGATGTGCATTTTAGTTGAAAAAGATTGATTTTTTGTTAGTGGAAGTACCAAAAACTGGTTTGAGTTGTTTTTGTGAACTTGAAAATATTTGAAGATCAGATTTTGAAAGTCTGATCAAATTTTATGGCCAAACGCTAGCTTATGCTTATAGTTCAAAAAAGTTCTCATCTTTTGATTTCGCTTTTTGCTGGAAATAGAATTCTTGATTCATCCATGACCCAGTTTTAGTTTTTTGAGTTCTGTAATAATTTTACTACAGCCGAAATACTTCTGATTAACATTTAGGGTTATGGTTCAAACAAGTTTTACATTTTTCATATTTAATCTTAGCTTTTGGCTGGCAATAGAGTTCTTAAAAAATCTTTAATTCTGGGTTCCAGTGGAGCTTATGATATGTCTTATCATTTTCCTTTTCACCCAAGCTTGATTCTTGAGTTAAAAATAATAATGAAAATCGAAGCTTGATTCTTGAGTTCAAATAAAAAATCAGTTTGCACTAGAATTTGAGCAAGTTGCATTGTATTATCAATAAGAATTGAACTGCAGAAAGTTCACATAGATCCAAACACCATTTAAGCGGATGTAGAATGGACTGGCATTCTCATTTTGGCCATCCGATTGCGGATGGTAAGCTGACCTATGGTGCAATTCAACTTTCCAGTGTTGCTTTAGTAGATAAGTTATTGGCTGTGTGTCTAAACACATGGAAGCAATGGAGAACTCGCAAAATGTGTCAGGTTTTATGAGAGCAATACATCTTGGAGATATCATCCAACCTTTGTATTCAATTCACTTTTGAAATTATACTAAGAATTTTTGATAAGGGGATTGTAGTTTAGTATTTCATCCTCTTGTGCGTGGTGACTGCTTCTGCCATATGTAAGTACAACCAGCTGCGGCTGTGGATCGTGGACTATGACTGCCTCTTACTCTGACTTCTAATGAAACTGTGATACTCATTTGTAATTAATCACAAGCCTACTTGTTAATCAATAAAACTCTGATAATTTTCGAACTGATCAGTCTACTGAATTTACTGTTCATGAAGCTACTAGGTAAGGTTGGGTCTATCTGGCTAGACTGGGGTGAATAGAGTGGGGCATTGCTTTATTTACTTGATGTTTCTCTTTGAGTTTTCTATTTACAAAAATGATGGTATCACCAAAACAATTAATTTGATCATATTTCTTATTCCATGTAGCTTGTTAACTTTTAAATTGTCGAATATCATTATGTTCATACAATTACTAACTTGATTTTTTCTGGTTCTCTGCGTCATCTTTATGGTTCATTTGCTGGTTTTCACTTCTTGGATAAAGTGTAAGTGATTCAACTAATAGTTGCCTTTGGTCTGTATTTCTGGTAGACTGTGTTCTGATATAATGTCTTATCCAGGCTTGCGGGGCTTGCCTTCATGTTCTCTTCCAGCATCTTGTTACAGATTCTGGTAGGTCTTATAAATGTTTTCCTCGTAATGAGTGTGTGTGTACCCCTGTATTTCCAAGGGTTGTGCAAGTACAAATGAGTTTAGTGTATTTGCTTGTGTAGAAATAAGTTCAATTAAGGTTCTCTACTTTCTCATTACCCCTTGTATTCCAACAATCTACCCCCACCATGCATTACCATAACATGTGTGTAATATATATGTGTGTTGTAAGTAAACAAGAGGATCATTCTGTTTGCTTTTTGTGCATCTAATCTGTTTTTTTAAAGGAAACAGTGTCTTTGGTCTTTATCCAAAGAGTTAATTGTAATGCTTTTGCTTCAATATTGTTTCTTGTAGGCTTGTGCTTTATACAATAACTGGTGGCCAATGTTATCAGGTTTGTGAAAGAAATGAGATCTACGTAGTTGGCTTATTACTCATTTCTTTCTTAAGCAGAGTAAGACTCTTATCTGTTGGCTAACTAAGAAGATCACTTGGTTTTGGCAGCTCTTATGTATGTTGTGGTTCCCATGCCATGCTTATTCTTTGGCGGTGGATCCACACAATTCCTAATAAGTCGAGATGGCGGGGGGTAAGATACTTTTACGATATGCAGAAGTTTATTGAATCTCCTTCTCTCATGAATTTTCTTGCATACTGCTGTAAAACGTGCTTTCTTTTCTTATGAAAACTGAGGATAAACTCTGTCTTTTGTGATGTTGAATAAACGGGGCACATGTGAAGTATGTTGTCTGATAAAAGATGATCTTGCTGCACCCACTACCATGGATGTGAAAATTGGGGTTCATCCCTTGCTTTTTTAATGATTGAAAACTACATAATACAAACTCTTTATATAGTGTGCTACTGTGATTCAGTTTGGACTTTGGAGTGCTTTGAAACAAAAGTCATATATAACTTATATACCAGAAGTTGAGGTTAGACTTACAAGAATTCAGGAATGTAACTATGTTTTAAAAAGTTGCTTTAAGAAGAATGAAAGGATCGGTTGTGTTTCTTTTATTCATGATGCTCTAATAGCCTGTTTGACAAAGCTTCTAGTAAGCCAAAAGTACTTCTCCCTCCGTCCCATTTTATGTGGCACCCTTTCCTTTTTAGTATGTCCCAAAAAGAATGTCACATTACTATAATTAGAAACAATTTAACTTTAAAATATCCCTTTTACTCTTAATGATTTTCAACCACACAAATGTCTAAGGATTGTTTTAGACCTTAAGTTTCAAAAGTCTTTTTTTTCTTAAACACCATACCAAGTCAAATGGTGCCGCATAAAATGGGACGGAGGAAGTACTATTTTTTTTAGTTAAGCCATCACCAAGGATCATGGGTCCTTGATGTGGGGATTAGGCTTGAGCCCTACCATGTCTATTCATATGCAGAAAGTTACATAATTAGAGGGGCACATGGACCAAGGCCTCTAATACGGAAATTACATCAAGCTCGAAAACCTATAGTCCTACTCAATGCCCTTTTGTTCAAAGATGAGGGCAACTTTAAGTAACCAAAAAATTACATTAATCATTTCTCCTCCTCAGAGAAGGGAATTTTCATTTATGTCTAGTGAATTAAGCCTTTAACCTCTCTAGGAAGATGTCGTGAAGTATAAAAGGTTTCAATTCCACTCGATGAAGCCATTTTAGCAACAAAAAAAAAACTGCCACCTGCCACTAGATGAAGCCGGAAGTACTTATTTAAGAGATTTGGCATTTGAACAAGATTTTAGGAAAAAGGTAAGTGTTTTTGAGTAGTACCAGGAGTTGTTGCTGAAAAACGTAGTGTTTGGAATTTTGGCCAAACACAAATTGTTGCTCTAATATTAACAAAAGTGTTTTTCAAACTGAATTGCTTCTCTCTGAAGTATTTTTTCGAAAATGCACTTCTGACAAAGAACACTTTACAAAATGGCGATTTTGAAAGTTTGGTCAAACAAGATATATGTCGCGAGTATCTATGATTTGATGTTTTACTTTATGAAGACCTTCTCCTTTCTTGTTGCTTTCTCGTCTTTTGTTGTGTACTTCTCACCAAATTGTTCTCATTTTAGGCCTTTTCGTTTTTTCATCTTTGCAGCTGGATGGATGCTGCTAAATTCTTAACAGGGGCATCAGCTGTGGGAAGCATAGCCATCCCCATTATTCTCAGACATGCAGATCTTATCCAGACAGGTGCAATGTTCATCGAATTCGTGTCATTCTTCATATTTGTCTGCACAGTCATGTGTTATCATCGTGCCAGTCTTGATGACGAGTGGTGATATATAAATCGAGGCATTGTGCTTTAAGTTCCTCGACTGTAATTACGTTGCCTGGTTCTAACAAACAAGAAAAAAAAATGCAAACAAAAGGTAGCTGAGAAGGAACCAATGCTAGAAATGAAACTAGAAATTTGATTTACCAATGTGTATAACTTTGTCAAATGTCACGTTTATAATTTCTTGATGTGAGAGTTGTTTTCTCGGTATGGAACAAAGATCATATTTTTAGTTACTATTTGCATAGATAGTTTCTAATAGATCATAAATACTCAATTCTGAGGATGCTTCTTCTTGAACTTGTGCCTTTTTTTTTTTCGATTTTTCACCCGGTGTCTGGAGCATCGACTAAATTCAGCTCGCACATTGCAGTAGCCCCGATTAAATTTGGATCGCGTAGGCTCATTGTGGGGTGATGCTCCTAACAAGATTTTCTTCATATCCAAGGCTCGAACACGAGACCTCTAGTTAAGAGTGAAGCAGTCCCACATTGCACCACAATTCATGTTGCTCTTCGACTTATTTGAATCATAATTGGTGCATTTTCAAAAGCCTATTTTTAGTTGAATTAAAAAAAATTATTGGTTGTTGTTGCATATTAATATGATCTTAGAATTTTAGTTTGAATCATGGACTGTTCCAAGATTACTAAAAATTCCTTTATCTGTTGTATATAAAAGTATACTTTAAGCCTTAGAATTATGGAGTAAAATTAGCAAAAGAAATGAAATAATAATCTATGGTGTATTTTTTTCAACTTTATTTTTATATTTGGTTGGTTAAAATATTTTGAAAAATAAATAAATTTCTGAAAAATAAAGAAAATGATTTCACTTGTGAAAATAAGTTTTATAAATAACATTCCGAGTTTCTAGTGTTTGCAAACTTATTAAACACTAAATAATAAGTAAAGAACTGGAAACACCGCAATCCAAAAAAATAAATTAAATTATAAAGGCTCTATTAACTACAATAGAACGAATCCAGTATAAATGTATAATATCATAAATAAGATCTGAAGAGAATAGAATGCATACGGATCTTTCATGAGCTAAAAATATTATTTCGGGTAAATTCTTGACTGAAAAAATGTAATCAAAGCAAGAGCTTTATTAACTACAGAAAAAGAAAAATTTATAGAAAAATCCATTACAAACCCGATAGCACAAAACCATTAGACACTAAAAAAATAAATTTCCTAGCATCAGATAAATTTTATAGCTAAATAACTTTATAGTTAATCGTCTTATTTAGCGACAAATTATCAATAAAAATTTGTAAGATTTTCAGTATTTCTATTCCTGTCCTTTGGTTTACTTGCAAAAAATATTCTAGTCAAATTGCACAAAATTTTCTAGTCAATATATCAGTTTTGTCTGTTCATAAAATCCCCCAAAAAGAATGCACAAACAATAATCCCTAGAAGAAAAAAAATTTCTTGCATTGAAAAAATATAAGCATGTTTGTGTATACATAGACATAGATAAATCTACTTTTACTATACTATATAGTTAGACAAAAAATTGTTTCCTATATATTGACTTTTCTTGTCATCTTGGTGCGATTACTTTTTTATATTTTAACACATTCTGGTGAAAAAGTTAATTCTATCGATCACTTTCTGCTATATATGTTGTGAAAGATAGTTAACAGGTTGAAATTAATTATGGAGCTCACACACTTGATGTGAATATTATAATTATATATAAAAAAATTTAATCATATATAGTGGTTTTAGAAGTTTTAAAAAGTCTAAACATGACAAATACATGACTAAATAATTGTGTAAATTATATTTGGAATATTATTCAGTCAAGAAAACTTATATTGGGGTCCTATGAATTATGAAAAGACAAAAAAAATCAAAAACCTCAGATATATTATTGGACCCATGCTCTTCCAATTTTTTATGTAAAGATACTGAAAATTTCAACAATTATAAATAGTAGTCATTTTTATATAAATATTGTAGAGTGAATTATGAGAAAGTGAGATTAGTGTTTTGAAAAATAAAAAAGTTTGTTGAAGGAAGATGTTCTTTTTTATGGAGCTTTCGATATGACAATTTATTTAATGTTTGTTTGAATAGACATACGACGTTGTCGTGTTGTTGTATATTTACTTATTGAGGAGATAAGTCGAGAGTATTACTATTGGATCAGTGAAGATTTAGCTGCAGCTGATTAAATCTCTTCAAAGAGACTGCTGAGATATTGATCACGCCTTTTTAAAATATAATTGTATGTTTACCAACACATGACAATGACGATATATGGAAAGATGGAGATATAAACATGAAAAACATATACTCTATTTTCACGACCATTCCTCTCTTTAGACGATTCTCTCTTATAAAATAATTCGATTGATTTGACTTACTATCCATAAAAAAATGACCAATTTAATTAAGACATTCAAAGTGTACAAAAGAGAATATATATAATATTAAAGTACATACTCCAATTATTATTTCCCATAAATTAAAATCCAAGAGAATGTCATCATAGGTTCACTCAAAGTATTTCCAACAACATTAATAGATTTATTGAAACCTTAGCTCTCTTAATTATTACAAAAGAGTACATTTTAATTTCTAATTTTTTGAGATCTAAGAATTGATGGATATATTTAGAGTTATTTAACCCTATTAGATAATCCATCAAGTCATTATACATATAAAATCATAATTAATCCTATCTAAATAACATTAATTTTTTAAATAAAATTCCAGTCCTCAAAATCCCATAATGGGGTATCAGACAAATCATTGTAATTTCCCATTGGCTGTATTATTTCTCTTGATGATGAACTTGTTCCAATATTATTATTATTATTATTATTATTATTATTATTATTATTATTATTATTATTATTATTATTATTATCATTATTATTATTATTATTATTATTATTATTATTATTATTATTAATTAGTGGTTGATGAGGGGGTAATAATAATCCAGAACCAGCTGGCCTTCTATCAAATGCCCTAACACATTTTGATTTCTTGTAAACTCTGCACAAGCTAAATTCATGTTGTAACTGCATAAAATTAAAAAAAAAAGTTATATATATGTATCGATAATGTAAATCAAACACAATATAAATTTTATTTCAGATTTAATCATAGCTATACTAAACAAATCAACTCATAAGGTTATATGTATCGATTTCAAAAGGTTTTTACATCATTAGGTCATTTAATAGGTAATTACAAGTAAATTTCTTGATAAAGGTGATTCACATGTTAATATTCACTAATATTGATTTATTTATTTATTTGTAAATTGTAATGTAATGTATATTATGTGTATAACTTAAATTCAAAACTTAAAAAAAAATATATTATATGATTTGCCTGTGCAACAAATATATACGTGATAAGTTAGGTCACTTATAAAATAATTATACATAAATTTCTAGAACAAGAACTAATAGGTAACTCGATAAAAATAATAAATTAATTACTATAATAAAACTACACTGATCATATATATAAAAAATTTACATTGTCAATATATATACGTTTATTTAAACATAAAAAGGTGAAAAGAATTTGTCACTTCGTACGTTATATATCTGAAAGTTTTTATTATTAATGGAGCACGATGGTGTCTCTCTCAAGAAAAAGACAATGTTATCTAATCATGACATTTTTTTCATAAATTTTGTAAAAAACTTTACACAACAAAAGGAGGTATTCGTTTGACTCATGGATTAAGTTATTTCGAAATTATAATTTTTATATTAATTTATTTCACTTGAAAGATAGAATAAAATAATATCAAGTTGGATTGAATAAGGTGAGACATGCATAAATTAAAATTATATATTTTATTTGATTGAGGGTATAAGATAAATTTATATTTTTAACCAAATAAATATAAATTTAATTTTAAACTTAATTATAAAATATATCATCATATCTCATGAACCAAACGATCCCTTTGAACCAAAAACATAACTTTCCAAGTAAATCAATACTTCAAAAATATATAAATTTGGGGGTAATTAACAATCAAACAATAACCATAAATTTTAAAATATTAAGTTAAAAAAACATGTGTGTATATATTTCATGTGTGGTGAACAAAAATAATTTTATTAGTTAATATAATGGCCTAACCCATCGGTGGCCTTCTAAACTTGACACGATCTTTCACTTAGACACCTTAACTAGGCTTTGTTCATTTTAGACACCTCATGTCACGCCCAATTGTGTCAATTTGACACTTTCTGCGCGCTGAGATGGCATAGCAAGTGTGATACACTCACTAGACGCGCGTGAGAGCCTCATTTTACCAAATTTTAATTTTTTTTCTTCTTCTTCTTCCCCATTTTTTGGCTACCAATTTCCAAGCTTAAACTCTTTCCATGGTGAAATAAATTTGACGATGTCACAAACAAAAAGTGAATTCTAGCGCCCATAAATTTTAAGCTTAAATACTTTCACTTATTTTGTTGTCCTTCTCCCTCCTCAAAATAATTTGAGAAAATCAACATAAATTTCAAGAAGAAAAAAACACTCAAAAATGGCAAGAAATCATATTTTCAATTATCAAATCCTACATTTGGTGGGGGAGGGTCGGGTGTGGTGGTGGGTGGAGAAGAAAATCTGATTGAGAGAGAGGGGTTGGGGTTTGAGGTGGAGGTGGGTAGTAGAGAAGACAATTTGGGGGTGGTGGGGGTATAATTTTCTTTTATTAAAAGTGTTTTTTTTTAAAATTATTTAGTTAAAGAAATGCCACATGTCAACGAGTCATTGGTAGTTTTTTTCCTACTCAAGATTCATCATTTAATAAATATTTTTATATATATATGCCACATGTCTTTATTTAATTCGTCACTTTGACACATCATCATCGAGTGTTTTACACACACCTTACAAATTTGGCAGATTGTCGAAAAAGTGTCAAATTGACACAATTGGACGTGACATGAGGTGTCTAAAATAAACAAAGCCTAATTAAGGTGTCTAAGTGAAAGATCGTGCCAAATTTAGGAGGCCACCGATGGGTTAGCCCTAATATAATGTATTGTCTTTATCATATACTCAATAACTAGTGGAAAAGCAAAAGAAGATAATCATGAAGAAGCATATGCCAAACACTAGATGATATCTACTTAAAAACAAGCAAATAATCCAATGCTAATTCTTTCTTTTTTTTCAATACAAGTTGACAATATATTCAAACCATAAATAAT